TTTCTGAAGAAGGGTCTAGACCCGAAACGTCAGCTTTCCTGCTCCTCTGATGCTGCTTGGCCTGCTGTGTTCATCCAGCTCTACACCTTGTTATCTCAGATTCTCCAGCATCGGCAGTTCCTACTATCTCTGTTAACAAGTTAGCAGGGTTCTTGTACTTTTGTGCGATTATTACAAATGTGTTGTTCACGTATCTTACCCACAATTTCGGTTGGACTATAGGAAGGGCTGTGTGTTCCAGTCTCTGCATCACTGCTTCTGCGATGAGAAAGGAGATGGGTGATCCCATCAGCGTGCTGTTGATCTGTTTGTATATTTGGCAGTTGAATGTGAAGTGCATTGTGACACACAAATCTGGTAGTTTCAGTGAGTTGTCCTTGCTGATGTTGCTGCTGGTGTTCAGGGTCAGTGCTCCTGGTCCTTCTAGTGGTATGGTTAGTGGCTCGCTGGCTAATGGTATGTCAACGGACATAAATTCTGCTATAACATTGAATATACTGGGACAAGCGAACAACAGATATGCAAGGGAATTTTTAGAGGCCTGGTTCTCAACACAGGACTCCATTAACAAACAAAAAATAGATAAAAACCGAAAGAACAGCGGATGCTGTAATTCAGGAACAAAAACAAGTTGCTGGAAGAGCTCAGCAGGTCTGCCAGCATCTGTGAAGAAATGTTTATAGATACATATATAGATAGATCGAATATAGATCGCATCTGGAAAAACAGAACCAGAAGTGACAAGACCCATCACACCACAAAATGATATAAATTTGGAACAGAGCAGAACACCAAGGCTTTGATTAGAGGTCGCACTGATGACGTTGCCTAGAATGGTAACAAGATATCTACACAGCACAGAACAACTGGCTCAGCGAACAGAAGAACGGCATAATTCCGTTTGCTCTCCTAAACTAACAGATTTTTCATCTCCAGATTTTCTATTCCCGAATTCCTTATTCATTCCCCTATGACTATCTCCCCACATGTATTATCTGAGAGATTGTGTGTTCATTCACATGACAAGGCCATCGCTGGCCAGGCCAGCATTTATTGCCCATCCCTAAGTGCTCAGAGGGCAGTTAAGTGTCAACCACATTACTGTGGCTCTGGAGTCACATATAGGCCAGACATTCCATAAAAGGACATTAGTGGATCAGATGGGTTTTTCCAACAATCAATGATGGTTTCATGATCATTTAAAAAAAAAACTGGAATTAAGAGTTTAATGAAATCCAACTTCCACCATCTGCTGTGGCGTGATTTGAACCCAGGTCCCTAGAACATTACCTGGGTTCTGGATTAATAGTTTAACAATATCACGATACCATTACCTCCCCCATGATGACAGGTGTCTGCCAGAATTGGTGAGTCTTTGAATTTTGATACTTGACTTTCATCTAAGTCATTCTTCAGGGATGCTGGAAAAGTATTTCTGAATTCTTCCATGATCATCATTTCCCTTGTAATCTCAGTTTTTTTTAAGTGATTGAAACCACTGATTCCATAACATTTCTAATTGACTTGAAAGTCCTAGAAGTGTTTGATTAGGTTTCTTTCTTGTTGTCCTAAAATTTAAATTGATGAGCTTCAAAAAAACAAGCTCATAAGCAATGAGTATAACTTTTAACAACAACATAGCCCACAGATTGTGCCCACAAACTGGTGGACATCTTCATAGCTGTAGCTGTCATGACACTAACATTAACCACCAAACTCCTCTGGACACTTCACCTTGTCAGCTACTTTTTCAACTCCAACTCCAACTCTAAATTTAGACACTAAACCAAATCCCTCATTGTAACCGAATCATCGTGAGGCCCTATCTCTTCTTTCTTCATTTATCCCAAGATTTTCTTTATCCAAGTAATGTAATTTGATTTTCCTATCACTTTGGAGTTCAAGCTTCTTTTGGAAATTCTATTTCCATCGCTCTTTGGTTTGCTTTCTTTTCTGTTTTCAATTTGAGTTCTCATTTCCAGTTTTATTTTCCTTTCCTTTCTCCTCTCATGCCTTTTATTTTTCTCCCAATTAAAGTCTTTTTGCTGCTTTTTCTATGAAAAAATGAATTTAAATTTCTTACTGAATCTTGTATAATTCTAATGGTGACATCTCAATTTCATATTTCCACTCTTAATTCTAAATGCTGATTAAACGCTAAGTTTCTCAATGTTACAAGAAACAGCTTTTATTTGTACTTTGAATTAAGATTAATTGGATCTCCAAAGACTTCAAATAATCCAGTGATATTTTCTCCAACGGAAGTCTCAGCATTTAGAGTTATTTTGAAACTCCAATAAAAAAAAACAAACAGTTGTTGTTTGTATGTCCAGTACCTGCAAACACCAGTTTCTCTAAACTTTCTCCAATGTCTCAAAGTTCCATTGGATTTCCATTCCTATGCGAGACGCCACTTTATGACGATTCCAGTTGATGGTAACAAGTCAAGCTTCAGAATAAAGATTGACAAACATGAGACTGGTAAAACACAGCAAGCCAGGCAGCATATGGAGAAAAGGAGAAGTCAGTGTTTCTGGTATTACCCTTCTTCAGCACTGGATGTGGGGGTAGGGGGAGCTGCAGATAAGGGGGAGGGGGTGGCAGAATGGTGGTGATAGGTAGACACTGGTAGTCAGTACAACCTGATTGGTGGCTGGAAGGGATGGTCAGTAGGCTGGAAGGGAGAAGGCCGGGTTTGAAAAGGAGCAGGGCTTGTCAGACCAGGAGATTTCTAGATTCAATCTGGTTAGTTTGGTGGACAGTCACAATGTATTCACAAGAGGCTGTCAACATACTTTTAACAAGAGAACACAAATTTATTACACAAAAGAAATGAACTAAAACAATCTGGACAGACCTGATCACTAATAGCAAAGAAATTTATCCCTTCCACTTACAATATCTTTTGCTCTCAACTCCGGTAAAGAATCATTCTCATCTTTGCCTTAAAATTTCTGACTGACTTGACAAGGTCACAAGCATTTCCTTTCACCAATGTTCTGCACATTCCCCACGCATAATTCTCCCAGTCTCTTTCCCACCAGACCCACAATGGCTAACTCACTGAACTGTTCCAAATGATTTTTCGGGCCCTTTCTTGAAAAGAAAATCAGAACGCCACAGCACTGAAAAAAAAACAACACTTCTATTTATCTCAACTTAGAATCCAAGCTCCCAGAAGTATTTCTCACAAAGTGCACCAAAACCTGCCTTCCCCTTCATTAAACTGTTGACAAGCTTTGAAATAAGCTCCATGGCCTGGAGGCAATGTAAGATTCCTCTCCTGCATTGCTCATTGAGATTGACATATCACCAGTATGGGAGGCCCTTTGCCAGCATTTGGAAAACCCTGAAAATTCAGTCCAAGCATCTAATTTACGAGATTTCTAGGGGTCACTTATGTCAAAATTTTAGATCAGAGGACTTATTAACAGGAGATTTACTGAGTTTCTACTAGCATAGTGATAACGTCACTAGATTAGTGATCAGCGGACCAGGCTAATGATCTCAGGACACATACGGTCAAACCTCAATGCAGCTGGGGGAAACTTAAAATGTAACTAATGAAATCCAGAACTGAATGCCACATTTCAAAAGGAGACCATTAAATTATCATCAATTGTCATAAAAACCCATTTGGCCACTTTTCAATTAGGAAAGGAAACTGCTTTCTTTAGCCGGTGTGGGTAACATGTGGCTGATTCTTAACTGCCCTTGAAATGGCCCAGAAAGCCACTTGATTCAATGGTTATTAGAGATGGACAACAAGTGTTGGTTTTCTGGAAACACCTGCATCTTATTAAAAAGACTACTATTTATTTTGTGCTTAAATTCCATAATTCTGTAAAAAAAACTGGCCTTAATGCAACATATTTCTATGTATCTAACACTGATTACTTACAAATTTTAAAGCTGAGAATACAAAATTGGTAACAAATATTTGTTATTTAGTAGTTGGACCGTTTGGGGATCAGATGATGTTTCTGGACTTGAGCTGTAGTTCGAATTTAACAGAGGACTTTTTTTGGTATCACTTTTCAGGGTAGGGTTGTGAATGCAGGATGGAGATATTCTTGAAGGGTTGGGTTCTGTGAAATCTCCAGTTGCATTGATTTTGTATCATTCCAATGCCTTGCAATTCGTTATCTTTCTGCACGGTTGAGCCAGTAGCCATTGTGTAAGAAGTCTAGAATATCGCAGCCACCCAGTTAAAAAGCAAAGAAAGAAATAACTCTTGCCCCCTCTCACACACCTTATCCAGCACATAGATCGGGGGACCTACAGATGGCTGAGGGAAATCCAACATGAGAGAAACTTTGATTTATTTAATAAGCAATACTTTCAAACAAATTGCACACATTACAATACTGATGAGTCAGGATTCCTTGTACCAACAGTAATAGAATACAGAAGTGTTGGGATGATGACGAAACCAACTAACACTCTCACTTTTAATGTTGAAATGATGACAATACCAACATGTAGTATGATATGACAAGTAAAATACTCTGATATCCAAGTAACATATAACTTGATATGCTCTCTAACTCAGGCCAGAGCTCCCCTGCATTGCACAAATGTATGATCAGGCTCCTGTCACTACCACTTTTGCTAAGTCTGTGCTTCCTTTCTGCATCTCCTCAGAATTTGCTTTGGCCTCAGGATATGTGGGAAAAATGACAGTCCACGCGAAGTATCAGTCTGAATTGACCTGTACTTTGATCTCTTTCATTATAACCAGCTGGCACCTCAGCTAAATAGCAATTTCAGAAAGGGCACCAGACTCAAGTGTTTGGGGCACTTTTCCCTAAACTCAGTGCCAGTATTTCTAAATTTAGACCCAATAAAGGAGTGTTTTCATAGAATGATGAAAATTATAGCCCAGGAGGTGATCATTCACAGCAACATCCCCCAGATTCCTTCCCATATGGTCACATAGATGTTAAGTGACAAAATAGTCCCCTTAAATTATTTTACAATCAGCTTCAGCTTTGTGACTTGTCTAGTGCATTTCATTGCACAAAACTAAAACAGATTTTCTAATCTTTGAAATTTAAAACTTTTCAATTGAACATTTTCCCTTTACGAATGCCATAAAATGTTTATTTAAACATGGTAGTGCTTGTTACAACTTATTACATAGTAAATCCATTACATTCATTGGCCATGATAAAATAAAGCCTTCAGAGCAGCTTTACAGTTAACAGTACAAATGCAGTGGAAAATTTAACAGATAAATTATAGTATTAACAATACAGGTACACTTACATACTCCCACAAAGACACTTAAGTTTGAAGATTACATGTAAAGTTTTACAAATGTTCAATATTGTAAAGTTACTTGAAAGTTCAAGGAAAACATTAAGGAAAAATAATTTATCAATAACTTCAAAAAAGTGAAGGGAAGAAAGGAATCAAATGTTGAGATGTTTTTCAATATTTCTGACTTGGCATCAATTATAAAAACACAGAATTAGGTTAAATTTGGAGAGTTTTATTTTGCTACACAGACAGAAATGAATTATACTCTTCAAAAGAGAGAGGTTCAGACCATATGGAAATCAAAGCTTCACAGCAGAACTAAGCTGACCACTTACAAACCACAGATCAAGCCAAAGTAGGAGTAATATTTGTTTGCTTGTTCGGATCCTGGTCCACAGAAGACTCCATACAGCAATGTGATAAGTATTTGATCCTCAGACTGATTGCCAGCTAGACAATTCACTCATGGACTGGATGGAAAATACAATTAGAATCAGCTCATGGTTCATTAAGCAAGCTAAATTTGCTGTGAAAAATACAGATAACTACAAAATAAATCAGAAGGGATAAAGAATTTAAAACTGAGGAAAACGGCAGCATAATGGCCATGTCACCGGACTTGCCATTGAGAGGACAATGTTAATGCTTTGGGACCACTGGTTCAAATCCATGTAAAGCAGCTAGCTGATGGAATTTAAATTCCATCAAGTAAGTTCTGGAATTGAAAGCAAGTCCCAGCAATAAAAGTAACACTGATTATTGTAAAACACATCTAGTTTGTGAACACTCTTTAGGCAAGGAAATTTACCACCCTTACCTAGCCTGGCCTACATGTGACTCCAGATCCACAGAAATGTGGTTGTCTCTTCACTGCAGTCTGAATTGGCCCAGCAAGCTAGGTCAGTTCAAGAGCAAATAGGGATGGACAACAAATACTGGCTTTGTCAGTAACATCTGAATCCCATTGAAGAACAAAAAAAAAGCCTGCGTTTGGTTAACGCAGACATATTTGCAATGATTTGTGGAATAAATAAATTCCCATCAAATGCTTAAAAAAAGTAAGTTTTCAAATTTCAACTTGAATATGTAGGATGATTATTTTCAAAGGTACTGTACTTTGAGTTTTAAAAGCTAGCAAGACGTTATCCAGTTGGACTAAATTGTGCGCAAGTTCAGATGCGTTGCCTGCAGAACAGGTCTACGAGATATAAACCTGATGGCAGATAAAATTGGCTGTAGATCAGTAATAGTATGCATTAAAAATCAATACAACTAACAGTTAATAGTTTAACTAATACCAGACAGGAATCACTTAAATTTTGAAGCAGACCTACGTGACCTATTCTGCTATTTTATATAAGAATATATGGTAATAACATCCAATTTTAGCCAAAGATAGAATTAATCCACATTTAAATTTCCTGTACTTCTGAACCATGGTTCTCTTTCCTCCAGCTCTTCTTTTCATTGTAATGCCACTAAACAAAGCACCCAAAATGAGGTCTGGACTTTAGTTTTTATCTTACAGTCATTGCAATTTAATTAGACTAAGGAAGTTTTCATTGGTTGATGTAAGCATACTAAATGCGGGAGATGAAGTATTTGTGAAATAAGAAAGCAATTTTAAACTGCTAGCATTTTTTTCAAGAAAGAAATTCATCTTTACTGTGCATTCATACAATAAAGTGACTAACACATACATATTCTCCGAGGGAAACACACATTTAGCTTATGAAAAATACTGCAGGCCACAAACAGTTCTAATTGAACAATTTCAATTCAAAATAAAAGTTTAATTAGCGACTGGATAAGTGAATTCAATAAGTTTAACAATCAAAACATTCAGAAAGACATTTTGCAGATTGAAAAACACTGAAGATTTTTAACTTCCAGTATATCTCTTACTTTGCACTTGCCCACCTTCTGAATTTTTAAAAAATTCTACGTCTCAATCTTTTTTCTGAGGAACCAAGCTTCAGAACAAAAGGACTATTTATAAGTAATCATAAGTAACTGTACTTCAGCAGTAGGTATAATTCCAAACTCAAATTCATTATTAAATGTACCAAATATACAGAAGTGAAATACTTTTTAGGCCATTTTTACGTGATCATTTCTACTATTACAATTCGAGACCCAATCCTATAAAGTACTCTTATTCAATGTTACAAAAGTCAATTTTCATTTTGAGACTTATACATACACTGAAACTGATTTAATCTCAGGAATTTGTAATTACTTTCCAACTTGAAAGTAATATGTAAAGTTGCAGCAAGTCAGAAATACTATTTTTGCAATTAAAAAGAGTATGCAAATTTAGCACACCTCAAATCCAGATTTAAAAGACATGCACTAGAGACTTGTCTTATTGTTGCTATTCCATTAAAGGTCCTGAGTCATACATGTAACGTTGTACAACTTCTATCTCAGTAGTTAGATATAAAAATACAACACATTAAATACTTAGTCTGAAAAAATTTAATAGCCAGTAATTCACATTCATCTGCTTAAAAAGCTGTACTGCTTTCATAAACACACTCAAAGTGCAAAAAATAACGTGCAAACTTGTCTAGTACCATACCATACCATACATGTTTAATCTGTGCCCTACAACTGTCATGTAGTGTACCTAAATATGTGGCTGCTTCACGGAATGTTCAGGTGTGTACAAGAACATGCTGGTGTACACGCATTACATGTTTAACATTAGATACAATGAAATCCAATAATCATTTCATTCTTGTTTGAAGAAACCAGCCCTCAGGAACTTGGAAACCTCAGCTAACCAAAAATATCATGTGGCTAATGAGGTCCACTAAAATAAAACATGCAACTCTTCTATACCAAAATAGGTTAAGATAATGCTAATAGTTTTAGGCTACTGTAGTAACTGGTAATATTAATACATGTACAGATGTTAAATTCTATTAAACAGAATTTTAGCCCATTTAAGATTTTGAATGGCAAATAGAAAAACATTGCAATAGACATTACATTCAAATGCTTCGTTGATCACTAAGCAAATTTCCACATTAGGCCTCAAATCTAAAAGATGTGTGGCTTGGAAATACAATGCAACCAAACGTGCCTATATTGTTTTTCCATGACTGTGATAAGATCATGTGCAGATATCTTCAGTTGAAATTCATGCACCACAGTATCATAGAGCAACCATTCTATTTTTCTGTTAGCTTAAAATGGCAGAGATGGATATTAATTCTGCTCTCCATAGAGCTATCGCACAATAAAACAGGCTGTGAATAATCTAATCATGAAGAAGATAGATCCTTCTGCTCAGCCCAGGTCAATGCTAAAACCTTCCAAAAATTTAGAATATTGATAAATCCAGATACATTCTGGAATTTTGTTCAGATTGCAAGTGCAGATAAAAGTGCAATATGCAGTCCAACTTACTACAGTTGAAACAAGCAGCAACATTATTGGACATCTTTACCCTTCTTTTCTAGTCACTGATGCAGTTCTGAAGGTTACTTTATTGACATCTCTTTCTTTCATTGTGCCACACGTGTACTTGTTCTTTCAAGTTCTTCCAGTTATTCTTTCATAACAAGCCAAGGGTCATGAAAACTATCATGTAAACATTTCCAAAGAACTGAATCTGTACATTCCCATTAGTTCTGTGGTGTTGAATAGTAGTTTTGAGGTGTTGAGTAATAGTTATGATGGTGGTTGTTTTGAATATTACCATAAGCGAAGAGAAGTGGTGCTGTAGCTGTTGGAGGTCCATTCAGCAAGTGAGAGACTACATTGTAATTGCTATTCCTATGGATGGCTCCATACCAACCAGTGCCTTGTGGTGTTGTGGATAAGATGCTTTAAAAAAAAAGTAGGAAGAAAGCAAAAAGGGATTTTCAGTTTAAATAAAAGGAAAATTTAATTTTAGAAGTCAACATTTCTGTCTCTAACTTTGTTCCTTCCTCAAATTATTCAAACAGGTAGATAGCCAACCTGCTCCCAGACAACTGACAGTGCTGTTACAATATAATGATATATTTTCTTTATATCCCGATTGGGGAATCTTCAACTTTTGAGTGCAAGCAGGATCAACAGCTTGTGTCAGGGAATCTCAAGATGAAGATAGTCATCTCTGCTGCTTTAGGTATGGTGACAGAGCGCAACAATTTAAAAATTGACGAGACCTCAATCATGCAATATTGCTATCAAGGGCTAGCAACACATTTACCGAGAGTTTTATTGTCAGAATTAAACTGCTGGGTAAAATGAAGGATGCATGATAAAGACAGGGTGTAGATACAGTGCGAGGAAATTTAGGATGAAAACAAGCAGTAATCTTTTTGGGGTTTGTGAAAAACAGTCCAGTTGTAATAAAAGGGAAAAGCAAGCAGATACCAAAAATCCATTTCTTGCCTCAGTTCATGTTGTCTTTCTAAATTAAGAATTGTGGATATTGAATGATCAATATTCAGTTCTATTTACACGCCTTCCTTGAAATTTCTTAATTCCTGCTGTGATATAGCAACTGTCCTTTACTATCTTACCTGAGCATCACCAAACGTTAAACTGACCACAGCTGACGTCTATGAATGGATGGGTGTTCCTGGATAGTTCCGGCCTCTTGTGGGGACATCTTCATGTTGAGGATACCCACCATTGTGCTGTATGGCACTGTGATAAATAGCATAGACTTCAAACTGATCTAGCAACTAAAGACTGGGCACCCATGAGGTGCTATGGGTCATAAGTAGCAGAATTGCACTCCAGCACAATCTGTAACCTCAAGGGCCAGCATATCTCCCACTTAAATCATTACTATCAAGCCAGGATCCAACCTTAATTCAATGAAGGCATACCTAAAAATGAGGTGTCAAACTGGTGAAGCTACACCACAGGATTACTTGCATGTCAAACGGCATATGCAGCAAGTGACAGACAGGGCTAAATGATTCCTAACCAATGGATCAGATCTAAGCTCCACAGTCCTGCAACATCCAGTCTTAAATGATAGTGGACAATTAAACAATTCACTGGAGGAAACGGTACCACAAATATCCCCAATGATGGGGGAGGCCAGCACATCAGTGCAAAAGATAAGGCTGAAGCATTTGCAATCTACAGCCAGAAGTGCCGAGTGGATGACCCATCTCAGCCTCCGTCAAAAGGTCTCCAACATCAGAGATGCCTTCAGCCAATTTGATTCACACCACATGATATCAAGAAATGGCTGTATTCACCGGACATTGCAAAGTTCTCTGGGCCCTGACAGAATACCAGCAACAGTACTGAAGACATGTGCCCATAATTTGCCACTGCCTTTGGCCAAGCTGTTCCAGTACAGCTACACTACTGTTTTCTACCTGATAATGTAGAAAATTGCCCAGGTATGTCCTGTACACAAAAGGTACGATAATCCAACCCGGCAATTATCGCCGATCACTCTACTCTCGATTATCAGAAAAGTGACGGATAGGGTCACCACCAGTGTCAATGTACACTTGCTTAGCAATAACCTGCTCACACTGATGCTCAGTTCGGGTTCTACCATGGTCACTCAGCTTGCAAACTCATTATGCCACTAGCTCAAATGTGAACTCCAAACATTAGGCGAGTGTGACTGCCCATGACATCATTTTTGCTTTAGAGTGTGGCACCAAGGAGCACGAGAAAAACTGGTTAGTGAGAATTGGGGGAAACTTTCCACTGGCTGGAATCAGACAGAGCCCAAAGGAAGATGGTTGTGGTTGCTGGAGTTCAGTCATCTCAGGTCCAGGATTCTCAGGGAACTGTCCTCGGCCCAACTATCTTCAGCAGCCTCAATGATTTCCCCTTAACCGTAACATCAGAATTGGGAATCCTTGATGACTGAACAATGTTGAGCACAATCAGTAATGCCTCATACTGAAGTAGTTCGTGACCAAACTTAGCATTATCTGAACAATATCCAGGCTTAGGCAGATATTTTTGGAATACTGCATTCAATTCTGGTCTCCCTGCTATAGGAAGGATGTTGTGCAACTTGAAAGGGTTCAGAAAAGATTTATAGGATGTTGCCAGGGTTAGAGGGTTTGAGCCACAGAGAGAGGCTGAATAGGCTGGGGCTATTTTCCCTGGAGCATCGGAGACTGAGGGGTGACCCACCTTACAAAATCAGGAGGGGCATGGATAGGATGAATAGTCAAGGTCTTCTCCCCATGGTAGGACAGTGCATAGTTAGAGGGCATAGGTTTAGGATGAGAGGAGAAAGATTTAAAAAGGACCTAACGGGCAACTTTTTCACGCAGAGGGTGGTGCATGTATGGAATGAGCTGCCAGAGGAAGTGGTGGAGGCTGGTAAAATTACAACATTTAAAAGCCATCTGGATGGGTATACAAATAGGAAGGTTTAGAGGGATATGGACCAAATACTGGTAAGTGGGACTGGATTAATTTAGGATATCTGGTCAGCATGGATGAGTTGAACTGAATGGTCTGTTTCTGTGCAGTCATACTGCACAACTCTATGACTAAGTGGCAAGTAATGTTCATGTCACACAAGTACTAGGTAATGACAATCGTCAGAGGAAAGAACATAACTATTGTCCATTGAAATTCAATGATGTTACCATCACTGAATCCCACATTATCAACATCTTGCAGATTACAATTGACCAGAAATTAAACTGGGCTAGCTATACAAGTTGAGAGCAATTCTGCAGCAGGTGATCATCTTTTCAGCTCTGCAAAACTTGTCTACAAGACACAATTCAGGAACATGATGGAATACCCCTCACCTATCTGAATAAGTACAGCTCCAACAATACTCAAAAGCTTAACACCAGCCAGGACAGGCATCATATCTACTCCCTCTCCAAGTGCCACTTAGGCATGTGTACCATGTACAAAGATGCATTGCAGAAATTCACCAAGGCTCCTTAGATACACCTTCTAAACTCAAAATCACTACCATGCAGAAGGACAGTGGCAGCAGATACATAAGAACACCACACCACCTGCAAGTACCTCTCACAGCCAATCACCATCCTGACTTGGAAATGTATCACTGTTCCTTCATTGTGGCTGAGTCACAATTCTGGAAATCTCTCCCTAACAGCTTTGTATGTGTACCTCCACCTAATGGAATGCAGCAGTTCAAGATGGCAGTCCCTCACCACCTTCTCAAGGGCAATTAGGGATGGTCAATAAATGCTGGCTTAGCCAGCAGAACCCTAATCCCACCGTGTGAATAAATAAGATCAGAATTAGTTCTACTGCCAGTGTGTGTTATTTCAATCTTAATGCAGTTCATTTCCTGAGTGTCAGAGCTAAATAAATAGCATAAGCACCAAAGATAACCATTATGTTGGTGCATTGATTATAACCAATGAAAATTAATAATGGGACAGAAATAATTTATGATGCAAGCTGATTGCTTCTTGGTATCATTCAAATGCAATCACAGGGAGTTCAACATGAACAAGGGTCTGATAACTCACTTTCCATCTTAATTTCTCCCAATACAACAGAAAGATTCAAAAGTTTGGAAGATTATGCCTCAGGCTAAGCACAATGAAAAAACCTCTCCCTTTCATTTATTCCCACATAATAAATTAACAAAAATACACTGTTACAATGACAGAGGACAAATGCAATGGTGCATGGAGAACATGTTCAAATGAGACTTGAGAATCAGATAACAGTTTGGGGAGATAGAGGTCATGAGATGTGCCAACAATCCTGCTTCTTTATCAGTTGAATTTACTTATCTTCTCCCTGTGCAATTTGATTAAACACAGGGCCAATATTTTCTTTATAGCAATTGCAAATATAGATCCAGCCTACATCACGGTCCAGAAAAAGTCAACGTTTAATTAATTAATTTGATGCATACACATTCACTTTTTAAAAAATTTCAGGGATTATCCTTTTCTTTGAGCTAGATTTGGTATGATTGCCAATATCATAGGAGATCTTGCAAGTAGAATTACACCACCTTAACTTATGGGACAAACGGTCTGAAACATGGATTGATTTTACTTCAAGTCCCTGTTTGAAGTTGGAACATTCAGCCTTATTTTGCTTAGGGCTGTGGATATAATCAGGCCTGGTATATGAACGTGGAGCTAGAACATTTGCTTTAGTGCCATTTTGTATATGATCTGATCAGCCCATTTTGGACAGTACTCTCCCAATCATTGAGACTTTCTTTCAGATTGCTACTTCCCTCACTGACCTTCCCACTTGCAACTTCTCTCACTCACTTTCTCCCTCTCAACACCCATTCCTGAGCCCTCACTCATAGTAAAGGTTTCGGAGGCGACAGAGAGCGCGAGAGCACGAGAAGCAATAGTTTGTTATAAAAATATAACTTTAAAGAGATAGCCTCTTTCCTGTTATAAGTATCCATAAATGAAAGTACAAATACAGGACTGTACAGTATTTCAGCTAACAGGGTATGACATTGTAACTTTTTTTCTGAGAGGCAAGTTTCTAAAGAACATATGGAAAACATATGCAATGGGAAAAGTCTGATTTGTTTGAAGCTATTATTTAGAAGGTATACTTTTCAGGAATGCAACTACAACTTTAAATAAGCACTTTTTGTAGCTCCTCTGTGGAAATTTCAGCTGACACATTAAATCTCAGCTACTTTATTTTTCCAGTTATATTTAATGGAATTTTATTGAGGACTGTCAGTATGATTGTATTACATGACCAACTTGGTGACAATTGACCGAGACCATCAGCACAGCACAGAACTTTCAAAAGTCATATCCTAAAGATTTAATTTGGCTGTGAAAATATTCTGTTAAATGTTTACCTCATACTTAACTTTTTGATTGAAATATGTTTGTTAATATTAGTTATTAGTCAGAAATGAAAGAAAGTTTACTATTTGAACATGGTGTCAAGCCATGGTGGTTACAAAATTTTAGTTGTTGCTGTAAGAAAGCCAGCACAACACAACAGATAGCTCAGGAATTGTCTTGACATATAAAAAGTAAATCTCATTTAGATTTAGTAATTTTATCATATACATGTATGAAGCTATTCTATACTGTGTCTAGCTAAGTTTTGAATAAGAATTGTCAAAGCAACATTGTACATCCTAAAGTGAAAAAAGACATCTCCTAAAACTAGTTCATAATTTTATTCTTAAAAGTGACCCTCGTAGTTGGTGGGCTGGGGAAGAAAGTGGAGGGAAAATATTTTGCACGTCACATTAAGCTAGTTCTGTCAGTCAGTCAGCCAGTCTCCAGTCATACTAGTCTAGACTGTAACAAAATTTGACAGCAAGTCTTCCCAGACATTCTCTGAACTGGGGTCAAGGAAGCTTTACAGGAACATAATGGTGGTTAAATGAGGCCACATGGCTCAAAGATGGTACTGCTAAGGAATACTTCCTTATTTTCTTGTGGAAGAAGAAACTATTTTAGAGACAGTAAGTTGCTGTTTATGAAATACTTTTCCAAATGGTTACAACTGCCAAAACTACTTCAAGAATATTCCTTGAAAGCTACTACTTTCATTAGTGTCATGTAATTAACAATGTGGAGGTCTCCATCTCCAGAAAACAATATTACCCACCTTCCTCTCTCGCCTCTAGAGCCACTGCTTCTACTTAAATCATCATCACTATCATATCGTCTTGGATTATCGAAAAAGTATGCCCTGGAACTGAAACTGTGACTGTTGATCATGCCACCCGATCCCTGCAAAAAAGATTTTCGGACAAAGTTATAGCAGGCTTAGTTGTATTCAGGTCAATTAAAAAGTTTACTTGAAAAACACTGAGCATCCCCAGAACAAAAAGAAATGCTGACAGGAGGTGCACACAGTCTTGCATAATGTTATGGTTAGTACCATGCAAAATTACATTTTGAAATACTCACATTTTATTCTGAAACTTATTTTACTACCTTTTCCATGGCATTTAAGGATTGACAAAATGTGGATTTCCCAGTGACACCCAGAACTCTCAACCAAATAAAAAGTCAATTAACAAAAAATCCATAAGCATATTGACCAAAAAAAAGCCAATTTGCTTTTACATCTTCTGAATGAAATATGTTGTGTCACAAGAAAGGTGAACAACGGCATTGGTTTGGTTTATGACTAGCGAACAATGACATTATTTTAAGCAGAATTTACAAGCAACATGTTCAGTATGTTCTTAAATAGTTACCAGAAATAATACCTGGGACTTCAGAGGCAAAACTGACATGATTATAATAAGAGCAATATAACGTATTTTAAATTCCTCTTAAACATAACTGAAGTACACGCAGCTTTGCCAAGAATATCAATGATATAAGTAATTCAAATTGAGATTTCTAAATTTTGGCTTCAAAAGTTGTATTCATCAGACTCCTGAAATACTGGAAACATTATTTGTAACCTAAAATGTTGTACAGATGGGATAGCTGCTACTAATCCTGGGAGATACACACGATTTCAATAAAAGATAATCAGACAGGAGGACAAGATTTAACCAGTTAGATGCTGGAACGAGAAAATTCACACCAAGTCTTGCAAGTAGTGACCATTATACAAATCTAAGCAGGCTTCAGATTTGGATTTCAAAATGTCACTAAGGCAAATTTCAAAAGGGCTGATAAATATTGATTACATTAAACTCATTGTAAACATTAAATGTTTCCCACTATTGGAAAACAGTCAAGTAATTTTTGCAAATCAAAACCACTGCATTCCCCTAAAAGGCACTTGTGTAATTAGAAACCATGATCAATAAATGAGTTATGTGGCATTATTAAACATTTTAAAAAGTACAAAAAAGGAAATCCAGCAGATAAAGATCAATAAAAAAAGGAATACAAAAAAAAAATGGAGGTAAAGGAAAAGCATTGAATAAAACTAAGAAGAGATATCAAAGTTCACAGCAAAAATATATTTTGAGAGCGATAAAGGAGAAGGTGGAAAATGGAAATAAACAAAGCTTTAATACACAAGAAAGAAATGGCAACTTCTTAAATGAATACTTGTACTTGCTTACACAATTGTGCAAGCTGACTAAATATTCTTAGGATGTAAAAATAGTCAAAAATGTAATGATGGATTTGTGAAATATGACAATGGCTAAAAGTAATTGGAAAAACAAGCAAATCTCTAGTTCTCAATGGCTTCCCATTTAGTGATTAAAATAAATAGGTAAAGTGATATTAAATCCATTACTTGCAATTTTAAAAAACACTTCTTTGGGAAATGAGACATTGAATTGGAAAATTCAAAATACCACACTGTTTCTTCGTTCCTGAAGAAACAAATAACTACAGGCTTGTCAGGATATCAATTGTAGCAAATTTACTCACTAGATAAAGGAGTGACTTAGCAGTTATACATGTAGTAGTTGATTAAAATAACTCAACATGGATAAATGAAGGATTATTTTACTAAGTGCTCAGGAGCTTTCTGGATGGAGCTTCGGATTTTCTATTGGGGAAGGACATCTAAGAATATGGAACATAAAGCAGTTAAACAGACTTGAGGAACATAACAGCTACAATCCACTTTAATGGCAGACCAGGTTTTAGGAGCTAAATGGCAGACAACTACATTGGTAGTCCTGTTCTTAGTATTTCCTTCCACAGAACAGATGAGAACATTAATGCTTTTAGCATTACATTGATAAAAAACATCACAACATCTGCAGCATATAGTATGTCAATGAGAAACTTTGTTTACTATTTATAAACAGTTACTTACCAGATTTTGATTTGGTCTCTGCACCCTGAAAAAAAACACCACCAAACTTGTAGGCAATAGCTCCCAAAGGAAAAGAATGATTCCAAATGCCACATAAGCTTGGTCACTGACTTTTTCAACATCTGCCTGTAAAGCAAAATGTTAATGCAGCTTAATTCAATAGCAAGTCAATTAAAATGGAACACATTTCTGAGAAAAACAGCTGGAAAAATAATCTAATTAAGAATCCATTACACCCTCACAACCTGCTTCCTGAAGGACTCCATTCCATTGTCCAATTTTCTTTGTCACTGTCACATCTGTTCACAGGGGGAGGCCTCAGAAATATCCATCTTTTTCCTCAATGAGGAAACCATGGATGACAGGGCCCTCAACCGTGCACGACCCATCATCCACACCTTTGTCCTCCACCCCTTCTCTTCCCTCTCACAAAAACAACAGGGTCCGCTTGGTCCTCACTTTCCACCCTACCAGCATCCGTATCCAAAAAATCATAAGCCACCGTTCCCACCACTTGCAGATACATACTCCACCCCGCCAACCCCAGTCAGCATTCCATAGAGACTGTTCCCCCTGGGCACCCTGGTCAACTCCTCCTCCAATCCCAACATCTCCTCAAACCCTCATGGGATCTCCTTATGCAATTGTAGGAGGTTTAACAGTTGCCTGTTTATCCTCCTCCCTCAGCACTATCCAAGGCCCCAGGCACATTCTGCAGATGAAACAATCATTTACCTGCACTTCATTCAATCTAGTTGACTATATTCATGATTTCCTTTACACTTTACAAGATAAATTACAGACTGCTTTGCATAACACTATGCTCTGCCCATAAAAATTACCCTGAGGTTTCAGTTGCTTGCTACTTCAACACATTGCCATATTTCCAAGCCAGCACTTAATTCAGGCTTGCTCCAGTGAGGCTTAACACAAACTGGAGGAACAACACCCCATCTTCCACCCAGGTAACTTAGAGCCTTCAGGACTCACTGAATTTAACAATTTCAGAACACGAACACTGCAACCTCAACCCACTGGACACACCCCAAACCCCTTCCCAACTTCCTCAACTTCTATGCTTGTTACCTACCCCTAGGTGTTTTGTATGGGTTGCTCCCAGCACAGACAGCCCATTTTCAACCTTTTACCCTTCTCATTAACACCGTACCTAACATCCATCTGATTTTCTGAAGAAGGGTCTAGGCCCAAAACATCAGCTTTCCTGCTCCCCTGATGCTGCTTGGCCTGCTGTGTTCATCCAGCTCTACACCTTGTTATCCATATCTCTCTCTCTCTTTTGTCTCCCTCTGGGCACTGTCTCCATGTATGCCTCCCTCCCACCTTCCATCATCAGTATAAATATCATCCTTCCCCAGCTATTTTCAGTTCTGATGAAGAGTTACTGGACTCCAAACATTTTTCTTACAGTGGCCAGGCCTTCCGAGTTTCCCCAGCAATTTCGGTTTTTGTTTCAGGTTTCCAGCACCTGAAATTCCTTGTTTTTAATTTCTTAAAATATCAGCTGACATTGCATAAATATTAAGACAGCAAATCATATCATAGTAATGAGCATATTTCATTAAAATTAAAGCAAAAAGCATTGAATGTGCATACTACAGAATCCGAATGTGACAGATATTAAAATACTGCCCTAGCTGGATTCACAATCCCAGTTCAGCATATCTGGTGTTGTAACAATCTTTTGTGCATTTGCCAAATATTACATTAGCTATGACTAATGGTTTGAACTGAACGCTAAATGGGTTACAACTGCATAGGTATAGCATACTTCTGATGAGCTCTTTGAAATTTTAAATTTCAGTTATTCATTGCTGATGTACACTGTGTGTAAACAGCTTCTTCACTGCTAAAAATGCAATGTGTCACAGAACTATACAGCTATGCCTATCAGCAAATGAAAATTCTGGTAGTTCTGACAAGGAAAAACACCTTTGTAAATGTGCATACATCTACCTGATCAGACACATTGTACCAGCCATAGTTGAATGAACTGGGCCTATCTTCTGGAGCCATGAAGACCACAACGAGGTTATAGGAAGCCCTTGATATGTAAAGCAGGATCACTGCAGCACCCACAAGAGTGGCCTGACAAACAGAAGTTCCCTGAAAAGGAATGTAACACACACATACACTCATTTAATTAAGCTGAATAAAGCTGAACCACAACTAAGTGCTGTCGCCATTCATACTATTTCAGTTAAGGCAAAGCAAGATTGGTACCTGATATGTAGAACACTTTGGTACAGGATTAAGTAGCAAAAATAAGGACAGTCAATACAACAAAAAATGGAAATTACTGGAGAAACTCAGCAGGTCTAGTGGCATCCGTGTAGAAAAAGCAGAGTTAGCACGTCAGGTCCAGTGACCCTTCTTCAGAACTGGATCTAAAATGTTAACTTGTTGAGTTACTTGTTGAGTTTTTCCAGGATTTTCTGTTTTGTTTCAGATTTTCAGCACCTGCAGTTCTTTGGGTATTTTGGAAGAGAGTCATTAAAATATTTATTGCTATAATTAGAATACAGATTGACATGGTTCATTTGTAATCTCAAACTAGTGCCTTCCTTTATTCATTGCATGGGCTCAAAATTAGGTGACTTTGGGCAATCCTTTCACTCAGCCATTAACACCTTACATAAAAGCCTTAAAATCCACAGCTGGAATAATAGCAACCTGTATTCAAAGGTTTGCTACTTTATTGATCCTAAGAATGATCATCACTGAAAAGAGCAGTAAACTTCAAATCAATGCTGAAAGATGCAAGAAAACAACCCTATTAGCATTTTTCAATGTAACAGCAATACAAGTTTCAACTTCACTCAAGGATAGACGACATTAGAGGCTAAGTAATTTACTCACAAGAGTGAATAAAGCTGGACCTTTCATTTATATTTTAGAAGATGCAAGTGTGCACAAAGAAAGCAATTGGACTTTTACCTTGGACTCGAGATAAACATTTGCTGATGACATTTTTGCAATTTTGAAGATGCACACAGCCAACGAAATGGCACAAAGTACAAAGAGGCTGTCATTGATGAGTACTCGAGCAAAAACGGTCCATTTCAACTGGCTTTCTGGCACATTTCCTTGGACAAGCACTGCACATGTGAAGTTCACCACCAGAAACAGAATGCTAGCAAATAAGAATCCTAGTCGCAATGGTATCCTGAAAATGTTAAAAAGGTAAGTAGTTAGAAACTGCTTATAGTACGACCATCCGTTGTTTAAAATGAGCTTCAATAAACAATTTGCATTAGTCATAACGTTGCTTCACAGGGACAGAGTTTCCAGAAGTGACAATCTCACACAGATTGTCACTCTGGTCCTTTTGTTAAAGGAAGAAGGGAACCCCACATTTGAGGGGATTCTTCGCAGGGCTTTCTCAGAAACACTGAGGCATACTTCAATTCTGACTGTTCTTAAGTAGCATAGAACAGTCAGTTATGGCAAACCAAAAACCCCAGCAGTCTGCTGCCGCAATCTGAAATTTAAAAATCCAAACTGTAACGTTGACAGCTGCTGTCAAAATGGGAGGTATGACATTAGGGTGCTGGCAGGGTTGGGCACTAGAGGTGTATATAAATGTATGTGTTGTGAGTGAGGCAAGTATGGGGTCTGTTTAATAGCTACTCAGGTATTTGACTGTTTAATAGGCTAACTTTTCCCATTTTCCTTAATTTCATCAGAACCATTTGAAGTCTCAATTTTAATGGAGACAAAAATTCAAATTCCTGAGTGATTCCTTCAGAGTGTGCTACGATGGGGATTCCACAGGGTCCCCAAGTGCAACTCCCACCTATGGTCATATAATGACTGTCTGTGGCCAATGGAAATTCTGCTCCATGAGATTTTATTTCAGTAAACGAAGTCACAAGGGCATGTAATAAGTTTTTTTTTGTAACTATCATACATTTGTACATCAATTGAAAATATTGGGGCAAGTTGCTTTAATATGCAGACAAAAATCACCCACACATACTATTTTGTGAATATCCAGCTACAGTTGCAACTAAATTAAGTCTTTAAGTTATTTCCAAAGTGTGTTGAAAATGATCTTTCAAAACAAGCTTGTTTCTTTTGGCTACTCCAGCAACAAAAAAATGTTGTGTTCTTGGTACTCACTTGTATTTATTAAGTTCTGGAGAATATTTGGCTTTGGCCTTAAAAATAACCTGTAAAGACATACATGATATTGAAAGAAAAGCCAGCAAATACAAATAGTTTGAAATACAAAGATATCTTCCTCAAAAATAAATCAGAGGGGGTACCAGCTAACACTAAAAATTTGCATTTAGATCATACTTTTGATGTCAAGAGCTCAGAGGAGGAACCAACAGTTTGGAGTGGAAGAATCAATATTGAGAGATAGGATTAACTGGTACTTTGAGAGATGCAGATTAATCAGGAATAATCAGCGTGGTTTTATTAAGGAAAGTCATATCTTCTAACTTATTTGAACTTTGAGGAAATAAAGAGGATAATGCATTAGATGCCATCTAAATGGATATTAGCAAGTCATTTTAAATTATCCCACAAGGCAGACTATTAAGAAAAGTTAAACTCTGGGATACAGAGAATCTCTGCAGTGTGGAAAGAGACCATTTGGTCCATACTGACCCTCCAAAGAGCATCCCACCCAGACTCACCCACCCCTACCCTATCCTTGTAACCCTGCATTTCCCAAGGCTAATCCATCTAGCCCGCACATCCCTGGACACTATAGGCAATTTAGCATGGCCAAATCACCTAATCTGCACATCTTTGGATTGTGGGAGGAAACCAGAGCACCTGGAGGAAACCCGCGCAGACACGACAAGAATGTGCAAACTTCATACAGACATTTGCCCGAGGCTGGATTTGAACCCGGGTCTCTGGTGCTGTGAGGCAGCGGTGCTAACCACTGAGCCACCTTGCTGCTCCCAAGTGGCAACTAGGTCCAAAATTGGCTCACTGATATGAAAAGATCCACAATCCATTACCCAAGTGGAAATGGTTTCTACTTGTGTCTCACAGGGTTCAGCTCAAGGTGCCTTGCTGCTTGTGGTAGACATCAACATTTTACGCTTAAATGTGTGAGAAATTTGCAGATGACATAAAAATGGCTGTGTGGTAAAAGAATGGCTGCTGTTGACTACTGGAAGGTATCGATGGTTTGGTTGACTGGGAAGGAAAGTGACAAATGGAATTTAATCTGGGGAAGGGCGTGGTTATGTATTAGGGAAGGGCGTGGTTATGTATTAGGGGAGGGCAAATATGAAAGAGAATACACAACAAACAGAAGGGAAGTAAGCAGCATGGAGGAAGTGAAAACCATGCTGCACATGTCCATGTGTTCCTGCAAATGGCAAGACAGGTGGATAAGCTGGTAAAGGAGGAATATGGGATGCTTTCGTTCATTGGATGACACATTGAATATTAGAGAGGGAATGTAATGTTGGAACTGTACAAGGTAATGGTTTAGACCACAGCTGGAGTGGCGTACACAATTCTGGCCTCCACATTACAGAAAGGACATAAAATTGCTGTAGAAAGATTACAGAAGGGATTTAAAAGAATGCTGCAAGTGCTTGAAAATTACACTCTGAAGAAAGATTGAATAGGCTAGGATGGTTTTCGTTGGAACAGAGGCGGCTGAGGGATGAATGACTCAAAATGTACAAAATAATGAAGGGCTTGGATAGAGTTGACCCCTAGCATGAGGGGTCATTTATCAGAGGGTGCAGATTTAAGCCGATTGGTAGAAGTGGACAGGAAGAAAAACATTTTTTTAAATTTACTTGGAGGGTGTCTGGAATTCACTGCCTAGTTTGGCGATTGAGATGGAAACCTTCAACTCCTTTCAGATGAACTAGACCTGTGCCCCAAAGACTGTAACCTACAAGGTTACAAATCAAGTGCTGGAAAGTAGGGGGTAGAAAGTGAGGCTGGCTTATCCAGCTGGTGCAGACACACTGGGATGAATAGCCTCTCTTTGTTCTGTGACTTTCCTATGGTTCTATGGAAGCATTAACAATGCCAGCTAGTATAGGGGTAGAGTGGAAAGGAAAGCAGAGTTGGAAAGTCAGGAAAGGAGTTACTACTAATGAGATGAGCTTCAATGGGTCAGGGTTCAGGAATGGAGAGTAATGGGAACTTAGGGGGAAAAGAGGGCAGGACAGGCCTGATTTTGCTGATGAAGGAATTCCTGAACTCCATACACTAACTTGAGATTATGTTGGAGAGGACAATTGGTCACTGAGTTGTTCTTAATTGCTCTTTAGATAATTCTGCAATTAGGGAGAGCGTTGGCTGGAGAGAGTAATGTACAACTTAACATGAGGGATATTGATTACAATGACCAGATAACTGAAGTATGTCAGATGTAGATCATTTAGATTCTTACCACTAGGTTGGAGTCCTACTCCAGAGACGGCAGTGTAAAAACCACACACACTTAACCCTCCAGTGCAGAAATAAGAGGAGTGCTGCACTGTCAAAAGTGCCACTTTTCAGACAAGTTGTTAAACAGAGAACTCATCTGCCTTCTCACAGATGTAACAGATACCATAGCCCCATGTGATGGCAAGCAAAGGAACTGGCCCTGATGTCCTGACTACTATTTATCCCTCAAACAACATCACAAAAGAAATAATCGGATTGTTACCACAGTACTATTAGTGAAAACTTACTGCATGCAATTTGACTGCCATGGTTCCAACAATACAGTGACTACACTTCAACAGTATTTTGCTGGATGTAAATAGCTATGAAATATCTGGTAGTTCTGAATAGTAGTATATAAAGGTAAATCTTCAAAAATGTTTTTATTAAAAGTTTTAATGATTAGTGATATTTCCACAGTCAAAGTGCTTCTTTTATAAAAAAAAATTCATTCAGGGATGTGGGCATCACTGGCTTGGCAAACATTTATTGCCCATTCCTAACTGCCCTCAAGATGGTAGTGAGCTGCCTTTTTGAACCGCTGCAGGACGCTCGGTGCAAGTACATCCACAAACGCTCTTAGGGATTGTGTTCCAGGATTTGACAGTGAACGAACAGCAATTTATTTTCAAGACAAGATGGCAAGAACCTTGGAGAGCTTGCAGGTAGTGGCGTTACCAACTATCTGCTGCCCTTGTCTTTCTAAATGGTAGTGGTCATGGGTTTGGAGGGTGCTAAAGATCCTTGGAGCATTTCTGTCATCTTGTAGACAGCACATGGTGCTGCCACTGTTTGTTGATGGTTGAGGCCGTAAATGTTTGTGAATGTGGGGCAATCAACTGGGCTGCTTTGCCTGGATGGTCGTAAGCTTTGAGTACGATTGGAACTGCACACATCCAGACAAGTAGGGTGTATTGCATTCCGATTTGTACACAATGGGCAGGCTTTGGGGAGTTATGCACTGCAGTTACATGCTGCATAATTCTTGATCTCTACATAGCTTTCGTAGCCAGAGTAATTATATGGTTCAGTTCAAGTTCTGGTCAATGGTAACTCCCCAGGATACTGACAGCATGATTTAATGTTCGCCATTGAATGCCAAGGAGTGAAGGTTAGACTCTCTCTTATTGGAGATAGTCATTGTCTGGTATTGCAATGGCGCAAATGTCACCTAGCACTCATCGGTCCAAGCTAGATATTGTCCACATTTTGCCGAGTTTGGACATGGATTGCTCCAGTATCTGAGGAGTTGTCAGTAGTGCTGAACATTGTGCAAATCACCACTTGTGACCTTATGATGGAGGGAAGGTCTTGAAGAGGTAGCTGGATGGCTGGGCCTAGAACCACTACCCTGAACAAGTCTGCAGAGATGCCCTGGAGCGGAGATGACTAACATCCAATAACCACCTGCATTTTTCTTTGTGCCAGTTATGACTCCAAACGTGGGAAAATTTTCGTCCCGATTCCTGTTCACTCCAGTTTTGCTAGGTCTGCCTGATGCCAAACTCAGTCAAATGCTGCCTTGATGTCAAGGGCTATCACTCTCACCTCACTAGTTCAGCTCTTTTGTCCATGTTCGAACCATAGCTGCAATGAGGTAAGGAGCTGAGTGGCCCTGGCAGAACTAAACTGGGCATCAGTACATGATCTAGTCTAGTTTCTGTGGATATCGTATATCAGCCTCTTGTATTTTTTATTATTTAGTTGTCTAAATACACATGAATGCTAGCAGAATTAGAAAAAAACGTACTAAAATTAGAAACTATGGTAGCATTGGGTATGTGTGGGTACTATGATGCAGAGGTTGGAAAAAATTAACATTCCAAAGATATAGTTTGCACAAATAACAGTGGACAGAAAAGAAAGTGAGTTTAATAAAACTGATTAATTGCATACCCTCTAACACAGAAAGAAACTACACTGTTCAGACAGCATCCAAGCTTTGATCCCAGGTACCCTACAGATTTTCAAGTCAATATAAAGAAGTTGATTTATTCTGCAGAGAGAAACATGGTGAAAGAGACAGTAAGCATTTTAAGGGAGGTCTTCAAATTGACCAAATAGTGAACCAAGAAAACTCAAGTGGTTTAGAGTCAGAGTTACTAATTGTATTGCACAATTACTTCATGAACCAGGGCAATGAATAAGCTTATCTTTTCCTCATGCAATTAGTAAACAAGACAACAGACAGGAAACGGAAATCTTACAGGTGTGGCATTGAAAGAATGATCAAATTCCACATGATATGGGATTCAAATATACATGAGACTAGGAGTTAAATATACACCAATAAGGAAGATCAAATTCAGAAAATGATTGTACTTTTGTGAAGGGCAAATGGACTAATATTGAACGTGCGGAGGAGGTACACTCCTAAAGTAAAAACTGAAAGAAAAACTGCGGATGCTGTAAGTCAGGAAGAAAAACAGAACTTGCTGGAAAAGCTCAGCATGTCTGGCAGCACCCGTGAGGAAAAATCACAGTTAACGTTTCGGGTCCGGTGACCCTTCCTCACTTCTTTCGGTTTTTATTCAGTACTTAACTCATTGCCACATCTCTTCTAGGCATGCGCACTTTGAAGAAGTTCTGCTCCACTCTCCAACAGGATTTCTGTTTCAATGTTTTCTTGCCCACTGACATTAATTTCAATGTCACTCCTGGTGTTTGACTAAGTATTTGCCAACTTGTTTCCACAGCCATATCACATTCCTCAGTTATTGCTACCAGCTCAAACTCACCCCACATGGATTCA